CTTCCTCCACCTCTATGTGAACCACATCACCGAGGGCTTCTGGGACAAGTCACACAGCCCTGCTCGCGGTCCCCCTGTAAATAAATCACCTCCACCCTCTGTGGGTCCAGAGGTGCATGGCAATCCATCTAGCCATGACTTCCCCTTCCTCAGGGTAATCTTTTAGAATTTACAATATGAAATGCTAAATAGAATGACCCCTTTGTGAGCTCCCGGTTACCTGCAGTCCAGTCTTATCAGTAGATTGCCCAGACCAGGACCAGGGGTGTCGGAGGGACAGAAGCAGATTTCAGAAGACAGTCTGATCAGCAGATTGTCGGCCCTGCCTGCCTCCTCCAGCCTCACCCCTCACCACCTTGTCGACAGTACCTGTGCTGTAGAAAGGCCGTGTGGCACAGTGGTTAGGAGCCCTAGAGCCACACCACTCGAGTTTGGACCTCTGATCCACCGTTTCCTAGCTCTTTGACCTTGGATAATTACATGACCGCTCTGTGTCTCAGTTTCCTCCATTTGAAAATGGCTCTAGTAGTACCCAGCTCTCAGGGTTCCTATGAGAACGAAATAAGTCAATATATCAGTTGCTCAGAGCGGCTGCCAGCACATCCTGAGTACTAGAGATACTAATTATGTAACTAAAAGTTAGTTGTAACTATTAGTGGTTATCACTGCCACCATCGCAATCCTTCAGTCTCACCCAAGACTTGGCATGGGTCCGTCTCCACCTGAAGGGCACGTCCTCTCCCTTCTCTCCCACTCCTTCCCTCCTGCTCCCCAGCTTTATTGAAATATATTCTACAGACCACGTTGTGTGAGTTTAAGGCGTACAACACACTGATCTGATATGTGTACACATTGCGAAGTGGTTACCATAACCATCATCTCACAGAGTTACAATGTCAATGCGTGTGATGAGAACTTTTCAGATCAACTCTCTTAGCAACTTTCACATTATAATACAGTGTTGGTAACTCGAGTCTCCACGCTGTACATTCCTTCCCAGAACTCATTCATCTGCTCACTGGAAGCTTGTACCGTTTGACCAGCATCTCTCCATTTCCCCTGTTCCTCCAGCCCTGGCAAACCACTGCTCTACTCTTTGTTTCCATGAGTTTGGCTTTGTTAGATTCCACATATAAATGAGATCATACAGTGTTTGTCTTTCTCTGTCTGGCTTACGTCACTGAGCACAATGCCAATTTCATTCACGTCACAAATTTCCTTCTTGCTTATGACTGAATAATATTCTTCTGTGTGTGTATATGTACACATGTCTTGCCTATTGTAAATGATGCTGCAATGACTGCCCCTTGTCCTTTCACCTGCTGATTCCTGCACAGGCTTCAGGCCTCAGCTTAGATATTATCTCCTCCGAGAAGCCTTCCCTGATGCCAGGGCAGGGACTAGGGTGAGGGGAGCAAGGCACTCACCTTGGGCATAAAATTTAAAGGAGGTGGAGGATACCAAAAACTCAGTAATTAAAACAACTATTTTAATGTAATTTTTTAAATCAAGAGTAATGCAAAATGTCTATGAGTAAAAACATCAACATTTGAAATAACAGCAGGCTCTGATGGTCAGGACTGGGGTGAGCCCAACGAGGTGAGTCATCCAAGTGCAAGGTCAGACCTGGCCTTCAGTGTAGGTCTCTGTACTTTCCTTGATGTTGGATTTGATTTATAGGCATTAATTTTGATTTCCTAAAAAATATTGCGCTAAGATATTATTCTTGTTGATTCCTGAGTTTTCAGTGCCCCCTAAAATTTGGTGCCCAAGGTTAGTGCCTCACTCCCAACATCCTGTTTCCAGCCTCACCCTCCAGGTTTGAGTTAGGTATCCTCTGGGCGCCTCCACAGCACAAATCACCCTGTGTCATAAATACGTCTTCCCTGGCCGCATCACGACCAGATCGTCCGGCCATGGACAGTGGGGCCCATGTCCTGATCTCTAGTCTCTAGCGCAGGGAATGGCACAGAGACTGGCACAGAGCAGGTACTCAGTATATACTTGGTCTCACTGATGGCAGGAGAAACAGGGTAGATGTGAGCATGTGGGAAGGACCCTGCCTACACCAGGGGTGGGAGGCTGGTGGATTCCCTCCTCCCTTCTATGCATGGTGGGACCTCACTAAGAAACCTTAAATCTGGTTCTACCCTGGAGAGTAGGATTCAGCTCTGTCTTCAAGCGCTGGGTAACTTTCATCAGGTCTCCGATGCCTGCAGTGACTCCTTGCCAGGGCCTGACACCCCAGAGAGAGCGTGTCTGGGACACCTGGAAGGAGAGCCTTCCTGCTTGCTTCTCCAGATCAGCTTGTCACAGGGCCCCTTCTTCCCTTCCTTGGGAGACCTGGGACCTCTGGGACCTAGAGCAAAGGGCCCACCTTCCCAGGAGTGCCTCAGTGTGTGCCCTCCCAGACCTGGTGGAGGAGCACTCGCATCAGAGGGGGTGGCTGTGCTTTTAGCAGGTGTGTGTGGAGGGCAAGGCCAGGAGGACGTGTGAGGTGAGAAGTGGGTGAGTCCATCGATCCTTGAGTCCCTAGACCTGGCACATGGCCTGGTCACACAGACTCTACCCCCCTTCCCTCACACTTGGGGACCCCAGATGTCGGACCGAGATCACACACACGCTACCCCAGCCATAGCATGCCTGGTTCTCCAGCTTTCCGCTGGGGGCCTGGTTTGGGAGCTAATGTGAATGTGACAACTGTGTGCCCGTCCACATAGGGCAGTGCACGGGGTCAGCCTGATTGGCCCACGAAAGCCCAACAGATCATTCCTGTTAGGGCACACATGGCAACCTTGGGGACTGTGGCTCCTGGCAGCCCGTAATATGATGTCTACAGAAAAGCCAGGGTCCCTTTGGCCTGACAAGTCTGGGAAAGTGTCCAAAAATCTCCCATTTCTCCAGCCCCCTCTCTCCCTAGGCATGGGACTCTTCCAGTCCTCACTTACCATCTGTCACTCCCTTCATTGCTCCCTGTGTTTCCCGCAGGATGCCTTCCTCCCTGGGAAAAGAGCTCCTCCTCCTGCCCCTCCCTACCCTGTCCTCCCAGCCCTCCCCTCCTGCCTCCTCCACCCTCATCTCTCACAACACCAAACACAAGGCTGGTGGAAGTGGGGTTGACTCCCCTCCAAGGACTTGACCAGGACAGATTCCTTCACCGAAGCATCTGGGTCCTAAATGTCTCTCCCATGAGGCAGCCAGCCCGTTGTGCCCCTGAGTCCAGGCCCCCAGAGCTGCCCCAGGGAACCCACTCCATGTCTGACTCACCACCGTCAAATCAGATGAGCTTAAAAGCATCCCTAACAAGTCATTCGTTTCACTTTACCTGCTACCATCTCAAATTGAATTTAAAAAAAAATATCTTCATGCAAGTGCTGCCATATCAGAAAGCAGCGAATATTGATTCTCACTTAATCTCTGGTTTGGGGAAAGGCAGGCGGCCAAGCATCAGCTGCCTTCTCATCTCATGCTCGCTCAGGGATGGACCGCACACCGCATCTGCCAAGTGGCCTTAGTAATACCCCATGCAGGGTCAAGTTCAGCGAGGGGGTCTCCAAACTCTGCGGCTTCTCAGCTGGTGGGACAGGCACCGTGCTAAGGATGGAGACCCACCCTCAGGAATGAAAGTATCCAGGCTCCTAAGAACACTTTCTGTGGGCACGGGGCTTGGGTGTCCGACAGCTGGGAGGCCCAGGAGGCAGGGCTGCTCACGAAGATCCGACCTGGGGCACTCTGAGCACTGACTCGGCCGAGGAGCCGCAGAGCATGTCATAGGGACCTCGGGCTCCACGGAGGAAGGAAGTCACCTCTTGTCTCTGTTTTCTTGTCTTCCTGTCTTTCAGAGATCGAGCAGGGCAGCTGCGGCGATCCCGGCGTGCCTGCCTATGGCCGGAGGGAAGGCTCTCGCTTTCACCACGGTGACACGCTCAAGTTTGAGTGCCAGCCTGCCTTTGAGCTGGTGGGGCAGAAGGCAATCACGTGCCAAAAGAATAACCAGTGGTCGGCTAAGAAGCCAGGCTGCGTGTGTAAGTGAGCGGGAGGAGGCCGCGTGGGGGTCTCCGCCGAGAGGCAGGGGTTCCCAGCCATTCCGGAGCCCCACCCTTGGGAACCTTGCAGATTGTAACAGCATCGCTCTGGCTGGTTTCTTCACAACCCTGCTGGTGGGGCCCTCATTTCCGGCAGTCACGTAGACTGGCACTGAGAAGGTTGCCTTTGACATTTGGGGACCTTCTTCAATGCCATCGTACCCTCGCTGGTGATCCTGGCACGCAAGGTAGAGGCCACTGGGGCTCAGTCCACCAGGCTCAGACCAGACATTCCCTCCTCACCCCCGTTGCCACCAGTGACACCAGACAGCCAAGCCAGGGTGGGAGGGACTGGCAAGTCTGTAAGATTGTGGACCCTGTACCAGCCTCTGAGCACTGTAGGGAACCATGGCCTTGCGGGGATATGACATTTTCTCAAAATGCTTCCTCTTAGATCGGATTTAGGGAGCAGTGGGGATCAAGCTGTCTTTGGATTGTTGATCTTTTGGCAAAAAGGTTGGAGTTGAGTGCTCTGTTCTACGGAGATACTAAGGAGGCTGGTCTTCCTCTTAGGTGGCATGGTCATTCTTTCGGCACAAATAATACTTTAAGTCCAGGGTCCCAGTGGGTTTGGCAAGTGTGAGGAGGCTGTGTGTAGCTAAAGGTGGTGCAGGCTTGATCTCTAGTGAGAAATCAAAGGATCCAGCCTTTCTGAGCTGTCTTCTCTTCTTCCCCCAACCCTCACCACCCAGACTTCTCCATCTCTTTCATCTGCTTCTCTTGGGGAAGGGCAGACAGCCTGACCCTCTGCTCTTCTCTCCCACTTCAGCAGCTTCCCAGGGCCTCTGAACGCTGAGCACTAGAGAGTGGTGGCCCCTTGGGGCTGGGGGAGGGAATAACCTAGGCGGCTATCAGGGAACATTTGTGCTGATGAGAGTTTGGTGTATGAGTTGGTGAGTTGGGCAATTATACTTTTCAAACAAAAAAATAATCACTTTGTTTGGTTCAACAAAGCATTTTGATGACTTGTGAGTTTATGTAAAAATTCTTGCTGAAGATTAAAGATCAAATCACTCTTAGATACACATTAAACAAATCACTCTTGTTGAAAATAATAAAATTGCATGAAATCTGCCCCTCTCTGTGGCCTGACATGGTTTGAATATAGTACCTGACTCTCTTAGCCTTGTAGCACACTGCACACCAAAGGGACCTGGAGGGGCAGAGAGGTTATCAGGGAGCAGCTCAGAGCGCACAGGGTCAGGGGTCTGACAGTCAGAGACCAAACCCAGGCAGGAGCGGGTGGGTGGAGTGGAGCTCCGCAGGGCAGGTTGGAGGCAGCACCTCAGAAAACAAAGACACAGGCTATGGGAGTCCCGGGTACCATGGTGGCTTCGTCTCTGAAACCCAACTATATAAGACAAGGCAGGGAGAACTGGAAAGGACCCAGCCTCTGGGGCAGAGAGCTGGCAGGAGTGGCATGGGTGGCAGAGCCAGCCAGCTACTCGGGAGCAAGATAAAGTTCCCGGCCCCGCAAACTGAGAGGTGCAGGTAGCAGAATGCTACCTGGAGGGGGGAGTGGAGCTATCACCCAAGTCCTCCCAGAACTTATTTCACCCTTTGGCTCTTAGGAGTAGTTTTAGGAGATCTTTCTAGAACCTTCAGTAAGGGCAGAGGACCAGTAGGCCCTTCATTTCCAGGAGCGAGGTTGGCAGCTTCCAGGGAGCTGGGCTCTGCTTGCAGACAACTGAGAAGAGGGCAGAGCAGTCCTGGCAACTAGCAGGCAGTGGTCTCCGTGGTTTAAGATAAGGCAGAGGCACCTGGGGCTTACTGATAAGATCTGTGAAGCAGGCAGGCGCTCTGGGGGCCAGCATCGTGTTTCTGGGTGATTCTGGGACGTAGGGGGATGGCATCCCCAAGGCACTCCCATCACTCAGGTTTTCCTGGTCATTTGGATGGGACAGGACACAGCTTGCGTCTTAGGGATGCTGGCTTCAGCGAAGGAGGCCAGCGTGCGCCAGCTGGCCCTGCACTTTTGCAGTGCACAGCAAGGTCGCATTTGTATTTTGTGAAAGGGAGCGCCATCTGGCAGCTCCACTGAGCGCCCAGCCCCCATGCTAATGCTCCCACAGGTTCTAGGCTTTGCCCTCAGGGAGCTCACAGTCTGAGTGGTGAAAGGATGGTCATGAGCAGGTCTTGAGAAAACTTTGGCTTCAAAATCTGGAGATGTGTTCTTTTGTCCTGGCTCAGCGTCATGACTGTGGCCAGGACACCTTCTCTGTGGATTTTGGGTTACTAATCTATCCAAGAGGGTAGCACTCCGTTGTGGCTCCAAAAATTCTAAGTTTCTGTGGTTATATTTATAGAAAAAGGACTGTGACATGACCAGTTCTCACAGTTTCCGCAATAAACGCTTGCAGACCGCTTCCTAAAGCGGGTCATTCACGCAGCACGTCCTGCTTTGATTGAGGTATAATGTTAAACTTTGGTGTTCTGCTCCTGACCCCAGATCAAATATATCATGGTGTGGGATCAGTAGAAAAGGGATGTCTGTGAGCATCTATAAAAGTACAAAATAGTGCAGCCGGTCTTTGTGTTGTAGAAGGTGGTCATAAATGTAAATACCAAAGCACCTCCAGCAAAAGTCAACTAGAGTGTCTGAAATTTTACCCCCACGCGCCAGCCACAGTGAATATTAATGCGATACTTAGCAAACAGTGCTGTTCTCTCCTTCTGAAAATTAAGAAGGGGGTTGGGGAAATATTTTGATGGCTCACATTTCTTTGAACAGTTGTGTCCCCAAAGTGCAAAGCACCGCCTTGTTCTCTTGAAACAGTTTCTTCAGAACAGCTCCTTTCCAGGGATGGCCCTGCCGAGACTACACGAATGCGTGCCCTCCCTCATGTTTCAGAGCATTTTCTGTCGCCAGCAGCGACTTCAGAATAATTGCGTTGGCTTTTGAGCTGCCCTCACAGTAGTAGATGCTCAATAGACGGTCTTTTTCAACGGGGCTTTAAAGAAGATGATGTTTCTCCCAGTGAGCAGCATTTTGAAGGAGGAGGTAGAGCCAGCGTCTCCCCTCTTGCTCTGCCTTCCTCCCCGGTTAATTCACATCCAGGGAACACTGCTCAGGCTCAGTTGGAAGTAGGACCGCTCCCCATCCATTCGGCAGTGTTCACTGAGGGCCTGTCCTGGGCCGGGCACCGGGCACCGGTGCACAGCTGTTGAGCCTCTGCCTGGAGATGTGCTGGGCTTGGTGTCCTGGGGAGAAATCTCTGACCAGGGCTCTCTTGTCCTTCATCTTCCCAAGCTCTGACATTTCACCCCCTTTCTTACAAAAGAAGAGCTTTTCCAGGCAACCGAGCCCCGATTCCTCCACAGCAAGAGGTTCAAGAAGGAAGACACAAATAATTCCGATGGTGGGTGGTTTGCACAATACTTGATGCTTTGTTGACGGACTAGCAGAATGCTTCACACTTCATCAAATAGCCAGGAAACCAATTATCGGTCCATTAGCAGCCACTTTCGAAAGCAGTTATGAAACAGCCCTCACCAGAGATGTGCTGAGGCTGCAGACGTGCAAGCTGGCCTTCACCATTTCATAAAGCACACGAGAAGGTGTGAGCCCTTGCTTGGTTCCTCATGGCTGCCGCACGTGTGTGAGGGTGAGGGCAGGGCCTCCCCGGGTGTAGANGCTGGCCTTCACCATTTCATAAAGCACACGAGAAGGTGTGAGCCCTTGCTCGGTTCCTCATGGCTGCCGCACGTGTGTGAGGGTGAGGGTGAGGGCAGGGCCTCCCCGGGTGTAGACAGTGGAACTTACAAATCAGCAGCTGAACCTTGAGAGACCAAGAAGGGAGAAGCGGGTCCTTGGGTGCGCGAAGGGGATGTCATGGCAGATACAGGGCTTGCGCCNCGGTTCCTCATGGCTGCCGCACGTGTGTGAGGGTGAGGGTGAGGGCAGGGCCTCCCCGGGTGTAGGCAGTGGAACTTACAAATCAGCAGCTGAACCTTGAGAGACCAAGAAGGGAGAAGCGGGTCCTTGGGTGCGCAAAGGGGATGTCACAGCAGATACAGGGCTTGCGCTGGGCCTTGAGGGGTTGGGGGTAAGGGAAGGCATTCTGCACAGGATGCTGTGGGAAATGTCCTCTCCGAGTACCCTCCTGACTGTTCCTCTCTTGAGTTCCTCCCCAACCCCTCCTCTGGACACATACACACATGTTGCTGGACAAAGGAGTGGAGTGGGTCATAGGGTCATCAGGATTCTCAGCCTCATCACTACTGACATTTGGACCAGACCATCCTTTGGGGGCCGTCTTGTGTACTGTGAGATGCTCAGAAGCATCCCTGCCCTCTACCCACCAAAAGATAGTTGCAGACACATATACCCCTCCAACAGTGTGACAGCCCTGGGGAAAGCACCACCCAAGATCAGGAACCACTGGTCTGGGATAATTTAGTCTTATCAGATTCTAAATGTGAAGAAATCTAGGTATTTGCATTTTAAGCGAGGCTATGATCAAACTCAAGGCCCTGCAGAATTTCAGCAGTGAGGAAGCGTGGGTTAGGGGAGGATGCCAATATTTATTAAATATTCTATGTCATTGGGAAGATACGAGTTTTCCCTATAACTTAATGGAATATTTATTCTCTCATTTTATAGATGAAAACAGAGTTCAAGGAGACAAGATAACTAGCTCAGAGGTTATAGAGCCATTATGTGAGGGGCTAGAATTCGCCCTGTTAATGACAAAGCCGACCCCTACTGCTAACCCTGCCATCTCTCCATTGCACCCGATTTCCAGAATCCAAGGGGTCACCTGCAGCAGGAAGGACAGGAAGCCTTAGGATGGAAGTACTAGGCCAGAGTATGGAAACTAAGTTTTGGCTGAGTTACTCCCGTGAAGTGGCAGAGATGACAGGACTTAAATTCATGAGGGCTGGATCCATGACTTTTGTCGGAACCATACCAATGTTGTATTCATACCAGTATGCACTAG